ATAAAGCCCCCTCCCCCCACCGAGTGGTGAGTCCTGGCCAGGACGAGGGGGCTCTTTCTGCAAAGGCCAGCCCCCTCTTCCTTGCCTCTCCTCCCACAGGACCAAGTCGTTTCCTGGGCCAGAGATGCAGCCAATGGGGAGCCCCTCCCCCACGACCACTGCCAGCCAGAATGCTGGCATGGTCTTCCTCTTCTCCCAACTTCTTGATCCTGCACCTTCGCCACTCGCACCCGCCTGTGTCATCCCACCGCCACCCTTCACCTCTCCCTTAGCCTCATGGAGAGGAAACATTTTCTAATGTCTGTATATAGTATATATACTACATAAAATATATAAATTATATATATATACGAATTTATGTCTTGTTTTTCAAACAAGAATGATTAAATCTATTCACCTGACTATCCCAATACGTCTTTGCGGTGCCTCTCTGTGTGTGTCTTTGTGTCCTTAAATTGTCGATTGGTCACTGCCCTTTGAGCACCACCCCCAGGCCTCTGCTCACAGGTACCTGGGCCCCAGTGGGTTATGAGAGCTAAGGACCAGGCTCCTACCAAGTCCCCAATGTACAAGCAATCTCCTTTGCGCCTCTTAGAAGCCTGCTGTTTGTCATGGGAGTTGGACATTGTCTAGTCCTTTCTCTTAACACTGGGTCCCCCTGGCCCACCTGGCCACCATGGCTGTTGGGGGTAGGCAAAAGTCTAATGTGCTCCATGCCACATGCACCAATGGCCTGGGAGCTAGGAGACAGGGTTTCCAGCCAGCCCTCAGCTGGGATTGGGAAATGGGACCTTTCCCTCTGAAACACATCCGGTTGTCACCTGCCTACCTCATAGTGTAGTTAACAAATCCCTTGCAATCACCTCTGACAGTTTCTTGAGGAGAGAGTTGTTTGGTTAGAAAGGAAGCATCAGGACTCTAAGAAGAGCCTGTAGCTCTAGCTTTTCAGCAATTTTCCTAATGGTGAGAAGTTAGTTTTCCTGCTCTCATTTCCTTCTGGTAATCACAGATGCCCCCCAGACCCCCCCCCCCTTTCCTATGAGGCACCTTTGTGTCAAAGGTTCTCCCATATCCCACATGTGCGCCAGTTCAAGCCCTGGCTGCTCCACTTCCAATCCAGCTCTCTGCTATGGCCTGGGAAAACAGTGGAAGATGGCCCAAGTCCTTGAGCCTCTACACCTGCGTGGGAGACCCAGAAGCTCCTGGCTTCAGATCAGCTCAGCTCTGGCTGTTGCAGCCATTTGGGGAGTGAACTAGCAAATGGGAGACCTCTCTCTCTTTCTTTCTCTCTCTCTCTCTCTCTCTCTGCCTCTGCCTCTCTGTAGCTCTCCCTTTCAAATAAATAAATCTTTTTTTTAAAAGGTTTTCCCTGCTGTATATGAGCCCCACCATAATAAATTAGAAATAAAAATATCCCCCTTTGGGCAGTGATAGTCCCGTGAGCACAAGGCTTGCTCATTTCAGTTCTGTCCGGCCTCACTTGCCTTGTTGGCTAAGTCCACAAACCACACAGTCATGTACACTGGCCTCGAGTCCTCACTTCCTCCCAAAGATAATCACAGACTTTACTCCTGCAAAGGTGGCGGCTAAAAAGTTTGGAATCAAAGCATTGAGCAGGAGCCAGCGTTTACACAGTTCAGTCTGGGCTGTTCTGCAGTGTTCCCCAGCACCAAACCAGAGCTCTGCTCTGCACATGGGAGGGAGCTCTGGGCAACAGCCTTAGGACTGCTGGCAGAGCTCTTCTGGCTCCTGCTCCCAGAGACACTGTCCCAGAACACCAAGGCTGGGATTCACTGGAAGTCAACGCCAATGTAGAGGGAAACTTGAAATTACCCAGCTGCACAGTCCAGAAACTTGGACTGCTGTGGCTCTGCACTAAGTACATTGGATGCTGCTTAAGGTCAGGAAGTGTTCCTATTGGGTTACATTCCCTAGGTACCCACTCACATGATACCTAGCACATAGTCTTCAACTAAATGTTCGTGGAGTGAATGAGTGTGGAATGCAAATGACTATCAGGAGAAAGTCCTTCCATGTTTCTATACCAAGTGTAAAGGGTCCTGTGTCCTCTGGGGATAGCTAATCCAGGGTAGTTGGATGTAGCTAAGGCCACCAGGCACCCTCCTAACAAATGCAGGAGGAGTCAGGACCACCGTCCCATGTCTCACTCAGCTGACTTTCATCAACTACTTTCCAAATGTTTCTAAAACTTCTAAGATGACTGAGGGTCTCCCATTATGTGGCCCCAGGGCTGGTCTCTACAATAGCCACGAGGGCCAAGGGAGGCCACGTGCCCACTGGCATCTTCCTCGCCATCTTTGGCTTGAAGCCTATGCCCTCCAGCCCGCCCATGCAAATCCCCCAGAGTCAGACTCCCGCCTTTCTGACTTCAGCCAATTAAAGGAAAATGGGTTCAGCCTGTTTGGCATGGGCCCAAAATGCCAGTGGTGCTGGCGCCATTACATTATTTCAAGCTGTTGTCAAGGCACTTGTGGATAATAGGCAATTTGAACAGCAATGAACTGAAAGGACCTACCTCAGCCGGAATTTTTGCTGCCAAAGGGGCAGGGGAAAATCAACTACCAGCAATGGGTGGGGGGACACAAAATCATGTCTTAGAATCAAAGTCCTCCAAACATCCAATAGGATGGGAGTAATAACAGCACCTGATTCCCATGCTGCAGTCTGGAAACCAGGCTGTGGATGTGAGTCTGGGGCAAGGAGGTCCTCCATAGAGCTGGGGGACATGAACGCTGAGGTTTCAGTCCTAGGCCCTGGAGAAATGTCTTGGAATCCCAAGTGAATGATTCTTTTGTATCCAGTGCCCTGACCTGGAAGCTATTGTTAGGTGGAAATGACAAAGGCTCACCTTTGCACAGATACAGGTCTGCTGGGAGCACATCAGTATTGATTTCATTTTCTTTTTTTTAAGATTTATTTATTTTGGGGGCTGGCACCGTGGCGTAGGAGGTAAAGCCGCCGCCTGCAGTGCTGGTATCCCATATGGGTGCTGGTTCGAGTCCCGGCTGCTCCACTTCCGATCCAGCTCTCTGCTATGGCCTGGGAAAGCAGTAGAAGATGGCCCAAGTCCTTGGGCCCCTGCACCCACTTGAGAGCCTGGAAGAATCTCCTGGCTCCTGGCTCCTGGCTCCTGGCTCCTGGCTCCTGGCTCCTGGCTTTAGATCAGCACAGCTCTGGCCACTGTGGCCAGTTGGGGGTAAACTAACGGATGAAAGATCTCTCTCTGTCTCCGTCTCTCTCTCTTTCCATCTTCTTCCCTCTCTGTGTAACTCTGACTTTAAAATAAATAGATAAATCCTTTTTTAAAAAAAATAAAGGTTATTTATTCCAAAGACAGAAAGAAAGAAAGAGAGAGAGATCTTCCATCCACTGGTTCACTCTTCAAATGGCTGCAACGGCTGGGGCTGGACCAGGTGAAGCCAAGAGCCTGGAACTCCATCTGGGTCTCCTATGGGGTTGCAGGGGCCAAAGTACTTGGACCATCTTTTTGCTGCTTTCCCAGGTGCATTAGCAGGGAGCTGGATTGATAGTGGAGCAGTCAGGGCTGGACCTGGGGCTCTGATATGGGATGGCAGCATCACAAGCTGTGACTTAACCCGCTGTGCTGCAAAGCCGGGTACTGCACGTCAGTATTTCTTGTCATTCCCTCCTGCACGAGCCCGTGTACCCACATACCAAGTCCTTGGGCTGGTACCCATGTCCCAGCATCATGAGAACATGTTTTGATGACAGCACTGTTTTCAGCTGCAGGTTACAGACCCACCACTTAAGAATGGGTTCTGTTTTAGAGTCCCTGATTTCTTGTAATGCCCTGTTTCTGGACTATGTTGAAAACCTCTCGTAACACAGAAAACAATTATCCTTGTCCTTAAACAGGCAAAAAAAAAACACACACACACACACACACATACACACAACTGCATGTGTGTACTTGCCATATGCTAGGTGAGCTGCTCAATACTGGGCATGCAAGGTCTCCTTTGATCTTCACAGCACTCTTCTGAGAGAGGCACCATGG